TCGCATCAATCCATCTCTGCAGAGCTCGGTTCTTGCCTGTGGTGTTTTGACGAGGAGGGTGCAGCACTCCCTCCCCGCGGTGCCCGCGGTTGTCCCCCTTCTCCCGCGAGCGGTGCTTACTGACGTGGTGTTTGCGAATCTCTCTACTCCTCCAGCTTCGTGGGCCACGCTTTCCGCGACGGTGGTTGCCAGGTGCAGTTTGCCGCATTGCATTTCTGCCGCGGGAACAGAGTCCATACACACCTCTCGCCACTACCACCGTCTGTGCATCCTTACCGCCACGCTGAGCCAGCGCGGCGGTGAGTTGGACCTTGGGACACCACCCGCCTACTATCTGTTGTGGCCTGGTTCGCCCGCGAGGGACTCGACGATTTCGGCCCCGGCCGGGGCAGGCGGGAAGTATGTATAGTTTTGGTTGTCGGACTCCCGCAGTATTGGTGACCTCTTCTTTCCTTGACCGCGGTCTCCTTCTTGTGGCAGAGCACGAATCGCGAGGCATCTACCCGGCTACATGCTCCAATGGAAGTGGTTTTGTCGTCTACAGCTGCATTCCCACTACGCTCAAATTTGTGTACAGTAGTGGTGGGAACGCACAGCATTCAGGGTACTCGGTGAATTTTGCTCCGGCCGCTACGTTGCAATTTTGTCTGGTTCAATCAGTAGAGCTGATGAAATTCACCGTTGGTGCATGTCGTCAGGGAGTGGAATGATTCCTGGAAGTGTGTCTCACTCCGCAATGTCTTTGCTTTCGGATCGGACCGTTGTCCGATATTATTCTACACACACGAATTGTATGTAACGCGATATGTCCTTCGGCGCATTATTCCTGTACAGCGCCAGCAAATTCCGGTGCTCCGTTCGCAAACTTTTTGAACGTTCCATTTCCATCGAACATGTTTTTTTCCGTCGGGTTAGAACTATCGCCTTACACTCGACCGTTAATGTTGCTTGAACCGACGAACACAACCTCTTCCTCTGGAGTTGAGGGTTGGCACTACCGGCACACTATTATAGTGTGACTACCTCGATAAGTTTGGCGGTAGTCAAAGACGATTCCGGGTTGTTATCGGTTAAATTATTCCCTTGTCGGGATACGCTGGGAGACGTTCATGGGTTGCGCGGGCTACACGGCGCCACGCGAACAATCGCGTGGGGGGGCTTCGCCTGTGCATTGGGACGAACACGAAGTTTCTAGTGTGGGGCGGGTTGCCATGCACTGCATCTTACACCCCCCTGTGTGTTATCCCTCCGTTCTCTCCAGCTTGTCTGGGTGTTGGCCGTCGTAAACGAGTACGAGGGAGGCGATTGAGTCATGGCGTCTTGGTGTCGGGATGCCGCCTTGGGTGACCCGTTTACCCACGACCCGTGGGAGGTGACCCAGTCGGACTGCTACAACTCAGATGATGGCGATTACACAAGATTGGACGAGATATCAATCACCTGCAGCTGCGGCACCACTCCCGCTCCCACTGCCCCTTCTTGCGACGATTCGTTCTCCCTCGACGTGGACTACTTTAGCGGTCGCGATGGCTGCTACGAGCTCAACACTGCCTGGACCATCAACGGGAAGAACGCCTACTTCTTGAACGGCATTGAGGAGGATGTGGACTCATCTGTGGTGTATGCCGCAGATGACATGGTGGATGATAATGTGAGAGAGATTCGAGCATGGCGATTCCTACTTGGTGTGGCTGCTACGGGTTGGTCCGTGCTGTTGACGAGAAGGCTGGGTGCGAGCAATAGCCTTCCCGGATATTTTCTTGGGGTTAAGGATACCACGGAAGGACAGTTCAGAATGTTGTGTTCCTTCAAGACGTTGTAGTGATGCGAGCAGGTCTCGTCAAGGGTAGCTTTCTGTCACAGACAGGCGCCCATCTACTCGGCACTCAATCTGCTACAGTATATACTGACAGCACATATGCGTATCTTTCAGTTTTCGAACTCCTGCAGAATTGGAGACCCCTTCTTTCCTTGACCACGGTCCCGTTCTTGTGGCGGAGCACTACTCGCGAGGCATCTACCCGGTTACCTTCTCTAATGGACGTGGTTTTGTGTCTCGCAGCTGCATTCAAACTATGCTCGATGCCATGTTTGCTACTGTCAGCGAAGAAAAAAATAATAACAGTGAATTGAACTCCGGCCGCTAGTCTACGCCGCAATTTTCTCTGCGATCTTGAGTAGAGCTGATGCGATTTACCGTCGGTGCACGTCGTTGGGAAGTCGAATGATAACTGCAACTTTATCTTCCTCCGCCATGCCCTTGGTTTCGGATAGGCGCTTTGTCCAATTTTATGCTACACGCATGCATATATGTTTGCGTATGTACTGCGATATATCCTTTGGCGCAATATTGCTGTACAGCGTTAGCAACTTCCGGTGCTCCGTTCGCAAACCTACTGAACGTTCCACTTTCCATCGACCACATTTTTCACCATCGGGTTTGAGCTGTCGACGTACGTTCGAGTGTTGCCATTGCTTGAGCCGACACACACAATGTCGTCCTCTTGAGTCAAGAGGTGGGACTACATGTCGGAACACTATTATTATAGTGTGACTACCTCTATCAGTTTTGTCAGTAGTCAAAGACCATCCCGGGTTGTTTCGGTCGATTCGTTTCCTTGTCGAGATACGCTAGGAGCCGCTAATGGGTTGCGCGGGCTACACGGCGAAACGCCAGGACAATCGTATTGTCTGTGCATTAGGACGAACACGTAGCCTCTAGTTTGTGGTGAGTTGTCATGTGCTGCATCTTACACCCCCCCTGTGTGTCGTCTCTCTGTTCTCTCCAGCTTCTCTGGGTGTTGGCCTACGTAAACGAGTACGTGGAAGGCAATTTGCACATGACGGGGCTCTGTCGGGATGCCCCCTTGGGTGACCCGTTTACCCAATAACCGAGGGAGGTGGCCCAGTGGGACTGCTACAGCTCAGATGATGGCGATTTCACAATATTGGACGATATATCAATCACCTGCACCTGCGACACCACTCTCGCTCCCGCCGTTGGCCCCACTCCGTTTCCCACCGTTGGCCCCACTCCCGCTCCCACCATTGGCTTCACTCCAGCTCCTTCGACCCCTCCGATCGCTACGCCTTCTCCTACATATGGTAGTCGAACTGTAACGGCTACTCCCGCTCCCACCGTCTTCACTGCAGAAACTGAAACCTTCACTCCCGCTCCCATTGCCATCATCTCCCCTCAAGAAAACGTCTCCCCTCTCACCGCTAATCCTTTCCCTTCGCCTTCCTCCACCGAGTCAACTACCCCTGTAACCGTGTCCCCGCTTCCTGAAGGCACGACTACTCAGGCAACGGTCACCTCATCTGGTGGAGGAGGTCAGAATACGTGACATGTTTTTTATCAGTAACCTACATAGACACTGTTCTAAATACGAACAGTTCCTTTTGCCAACACCGTGTGTCCTGCGAAAGCAATCGCGAAGCGAGAGAAATCCAGTCGATGGAGACGGGCAATGTTGCGAATATATTTTCCGAAGAAATGCACGCAAGTACCGAATGGTCTTTGGTCTCGCCGTTCCGTTTGCGTATCTCTTGTAGCTAAATATTTCCCCTTGCATGAGGACTCGAACAACCAACAGAGAGAGACGAAAGATCCACTGACGAGTCTTTCCGCCACCGTGCTACCCATCTCTCAGTGATATATTTGCTCGTTCTTCGATGTCACTCTTACTCTCAGATACTTCGACAATGAGTGTTGTAGCCGGTGCGGTGGGAGGCGGGCTAGTCGTAGGGGCGATCGCGGCGGCAGTTCTGCTGTTCAAGACTGGCCGCCTAAAGCCTTGCGGGAGTGGCAACTCAAGCGAGCTGTAGCCTGGGGTGGGATCGATACCCGCTTCTGCACCCTCTGCCACGAGCAGGGCAATGGAGGGGACTCAGCTTCCGGCCGCAATGCAGTACCCTGAGGCTCTACATACGTAGCACGGGACGCTCCAACCGCACCAACCGACGGCAGAATATTAGGACGTTGTGGGTTCATCTCCTTGCAGCGGTCGACATTCAGCACCCTCCACGGTCGCCCCGGTGGTCTAGTGGTATCCTCATAATCCGCTAGTTGCAGAGGTCGTGAGTTCGAATTCCCTTTGGGTGAAGAACTTACGAAATTTGCGGGTAAAAGCGAAACATGGCTAAAAAAGCTCTCGTGAGTACCAAACTTCGACGTTAGCACCGTTGACGAGGGAAAGGGACGGCTGGACCCTTCTCGCGATAAAAAGGAAAATTCAGCACGCATATGGATGCCCTCTACCCTGCGTGAGCAGAGAGTCCGGGGTTGTGGTGGCTATGTCCTGCCACCGGAGGTTGGCTATTTCCTTTGGTGCAATGTGGCGAGGAATGCCAAGCGTGACCGAGCGAACTCAGTCAAGCTAGGGTGGTGCGGAGAGTAGGCGGGCCTTCGAGGACTTCTTTTCACATTTTCCTTAAGATCCATCAACTCTTCGCAGCCGTTGGGGGTCATAAGAGTTGGGGACCCTCGGAGAACAGTAATCTATTATCATTTGTTCCCTCAGATCTACTCTTTATGTACGTGTATCTGTGCTCCCTGAATCTCCATATCCTGACCCCCACATAGCCCCCCTTTCNTTGGGGGTCATAAGAGTTGGGGACCCTCGGAGAACAGTAATCTATTATCATTTGTTCCCTCAGATCTACTCTTTATGTACGTGTATCTGTGCTCCCTGAATCTCCATATCCTGACCCCCACATAGCCCCCCTTTCTCTTCGCCGAAAGCTCAGCTTGTTGAAGTTGGGTTTTGGCGCACATGCATGTTTGCATGTTTCTTTTNAGTGATCTATTATCACATATCCCTTGGATCTGACTCTTTATGTACGTGTGTTTGTGCTTCCTGAATCTCCATATCCTGACCTCCACATAGCCCCCCTTTTTCTTCGCCGAAAGCTCAGCTTGTTGAAGTTGGGTTTTGGCGCACATGCATGTTTGCATGTTTCTTTTAGTGGAGCAGATATGGATGTATCATTGGATCCAGATAATACAGCTCCTCGAAAACTAAATCTCTCCCTCACTATCCGAAGACAGCTGACAGTGCCGTGTGGAATACACACGTGTTGAAAACAACACCGTACGGATTTAAGCTTTCCAAGGCTCGTACAAGCTACCATGTATTGATGTCAATCAATGATATGTCAAAGCTTATTCTTGTTAATCCAGAATTTTTACTTTGTGCGGGTTCTGGTTCGCGTAACCATACCGCTGGGTGTAAGCAATCGTGTTGCTTATTGAGTACGATAGGCATACGGTGTTCGACAGTCTTAAGACTGTTTCCGTGACTCATGATTAGTGTCATTGAGTTGCGACCCTCAACNGTGGACTACACACGTGTTGGAAGCAACACCGTACGGATTTAATATCTCCAAGGCTCGTACAAGCTACCAGGTATTGATGTCAATCAATGATGTGTCAAAGCTTATTCTTGTTAAGTATCAAGAATTTGTACTTTGTGCGGGTTCTGGTTCGCGTAACCATACCGCTGGGTGTAAGCAATCGTGTTGCTTATTGAGTACGATAGGCATACGGTGTTCGACAGTCTTAAGACTGTTTCCGTGACTCATGATTAGTGTCATCGAGTTGCGACCCTCAATTCCACTTGAGACCGGTTAACTTGACATTTCCTCGCCAGCATTTGACCCAACCAAATGCTGGATAGCAACCTTATTGTTTGAATGCTCTTCCTTTCACCGTTTAGACACTTCAGACACGTATCTTTTGTTTGCCTTCGGACTTCGTTTACTTTTCCGCTGAGTACTTTCCTTGTTCACGCATTTTTCTGGATTGGGACACAACGTGTTTGGCCTTGCTTTGTGCTTTGTGCGTTTGTTTGTACTCGGATCCCTTCCTTCGTCGCGTTTGCGTTTCGCTTTTTTCTGCGGCAATTCGGACAATTTCCTGGCGGGCGCGATGTCCAGATCATGTTTTGATCTGTACGCGGAAATCATTACGTGGCATTGCGGTACTTCGTCGGCACGATACATCAGATCTGATTCAGGACCGTATTNCGCTGAGTACTTTCCTTGTTCACGCATTTTTCTGGATTGGGACACAACGTGTTTGGCCTTGCTTTGTGCTTTGTGCGTTTGTTTGTACTCGGATCCCTTCCTTCGTCGCGTTTGCGTTTCGCTTTTTTCTGCGGCAATTCGGACAATTTCCTGGCGGGCGCGATGTCCAGATCATGTTTTGATCTGTACGCGGAAATCATTTCGTGGCATTGCGGCACTTCGTCGGCACGATACATCAGATCTGATTCAGGACCGTATCCTTTCAGTCTTAGACGATATCGATAGTTGTGCGGACCTTTTCGGCCTTGACCGCTTCGATGCCCTACCACTTTCAACACGACGTATCTTTCAATTTTCGGTTGATTTTCGTCGTTTGCTGTCAGGGCAGGTAAGGGAACTTGTTTCCCAAGGAAATATTCCGCCAGTTTTCCAAACTGTGGTACTGTTTTCGATGGGCAAGATGCACGGGTATTTCTCGTGTTTCATCAACTCGCTTCACCCTATACACAACTGGCGACAGTTGTGAGCAGATGGTATATGGTCCTCGCCACGGTAAGAACAGCTTCGGATTTGGTCCATCTATATCCTGATGTGGTCGGTATACGAGTACTTGTTGACCAGGTTTAAAGACGGGGTACTGCGGTAACTTTTCGTTTTTCGCAGCTTGCTTCTCTGCACGTTCCGTGAGGTTTCTTCGCGCTGGTTCGAAAGCAATTTGTAGAATTTCTCGTGTTTTTTGAGCAAAACTCTCGATATCTGCAGTTGATCCTACATGTGGGATTCCGATAATNACTTGTTGACCAGGTTTAAAGACGGGGTACTGCGGTAACTTTTCGTTTTTCACAGCTTGCTTCTCTGCACGTTCCGTGAGGTTTCTTCGCGCTGGTTCGAAAGCAATTTGTAGAATTTCTCGTGTTTTTTGAGCAAAACTCTCGATATCTGCAGTTGATCCTACATGTGGGATTCCGATAATAATTACATCTACCGGTAACCGTGCTTGGCGACCAAACATCAAGAAGTACGGTGTCTCATGCATGGTTTTATTAAACGACGTATCATACGCTAGCTGAACCATTGGCAGGAGATCCGCCCAGTTGTCACGATTCATGGAGTTATGCATTGCGAGCATGGAATGCATCGTTGAATGCACACGTTCAGAGACCGAATTGCCTTGCGGACGATACGGCGTCGTGCGTGTTTTCTTGTAGCCCAAGATTGTTTGCAACTGATAGATTATCTTGTTTTCGAATTCAGTGCCTTGATCAGAGTGCAGCATTTCAGGCGGGCCAAAGATACTGACAATCCGATCAATGATCACACGTGCTGCTACCGTTTCAGCAGTTTTGTTTGGAACTGGTGTGAGAGTTGCATAACGCGTCAGGTGGTCCACCATGGAAAGCACGTACTTGCATCTCACTCCGACTTTGAAATTGAGAGTGATTTGTACTCGACTAGGTCGACTGATACTCTTTCAAACGGCCGCTGTACAGGAACGTGACCCGTCGGCAGTTTCGGACGGCGGTGAGGTGTCGTTCTCTGTTGACAGGCCTGGCATTCTAGGCACCATTCCGGATTTTTGGTTCATTGACTGCCACCAATATTTTTGTCGTATTTTTTCGTACGTTGGACGAAATGCGAGGTGTCCACCTGAAAGAGCGTGATCATGGTATGCGTGCATCACTAAACCGGTGAGGTCATGTGGGACTACAAGTTGATCACTAAAAGTGCTTCGTTTTCGTAGGTGTCCTGGCAGATACGATTTAAGCAGTAAACCGTCTTGTATGGAATAGTACGACATGGATGTTGCCGTTTGGTTGTCTGGTAGCGGTGCTTTGGCGTCTAAAATGTATTGAACATATTCGCAGCAAGTTTCGGCGCAGTTCGTTCTTGTTCATTATCGAACACGAAAAGTTGCGATAACGTATCCGGCACTACATGCAACTTTCCCGGTTTGTGTTTTACCGTGAAATCGAAGGATTACAGTGCTATTGCCCATCTAGTGAGCATATTCGACGTGTCTTGCATCGTATAACGATATCGCAATGCCGCATGATCAGTTACGCACGTAAAATGTCTATCCCATAAATAAGGACGCCAGTGTTGAATTTGCTAGAACGACAGCATAGCATTCTTTCATGGTGGCAAAGTGGCGTTGTTGGCTTTTGTTGAATCGCTGGCTAACGTATGCTACGATATTCACGTCATCGCCATTCTGTTGTGCCAGGAATGCTCCCGCTCCCACTTCAGATGCGTCTACGTGGATAACAAACTATTTACAAAAGTCCGGAAAACGTAAAACAGGAGCGTTGGTGAGTAATCGTTTCACTTCTTCTGCAAATGCTTCATCATGTTTCGGACCCCAGTGTTTCGCTACCGACTTCACTGCGTCTTTCTTCGTAAGGTCGACCATTGGTGCGGTGACGGCGGCTAAGTCTGGGGTGAATTTCCTGACATAGTTGCCCGTTCCTAGGTAGGACTGATCGCAAACTTGTGATGTTTGTTGGCGTTGGCAACTCTAGTATCGATTTTATTATCCGATCTTCACCTAAACGTATGCCATCTGCGGAAAGAATATGCCCCAAATACTTCACTTCCTTTGGCCCAAATTGTACCTTTGATGGTTTTAATGTAAGACCTGCGGCTTGTAGCGCTTGAAAGGTGTTTTCCAAAAGAGAGATATGACCCTCCCATGTAGATGAACAACAAAAAAGATCATCTTTGTACACGAGAAGACCAGATTTTGGACCAATATGTGCGAAAGTCAATGCCATCGTACGTTGGAACAGAAAAGGCGCATTGGCGATGCCAAGGAGTCGTTTCAAAACCCATTTTCCGTCCCGAGTAACGAATGCAGTCTTGTCTTGTTCTGCTTCGGCAATTGGTATTTGGTGGTATGCACTTTGTACATCGCAGACTGTGATGTATTTAGCACCTGCTACTGTGTCAATATCACTTGCCATCTCAGGCATTGGCCACGATTTGCGAATTGAATTCTTGCTGATCGTCGCTCTGTAATCTACACAGAATCGGGGGCTGCCGTCAGCTTTTGCTACCAACGTTACTGCTGACCCCCATGGGCTCGNGGCCTTCTGGAGATCTGTACGGGTATTTTCCGTTTCTTCAGGGCTCGTTTGAACGCTGCTCATTATTTGTGGCAGTACTGTTTTCACTGGAGAAATACTATAGCCGGTAAGGGTATTTCTCTTCAGGGATACCGGTCTGTGAGAAGGGTTGGCTAGTTGTACCATTGCACTTTTGTTGTGCTTATACCGGTGACAGAAGNTTTGAACGCTGCTCATTATTTGTGGCAGTACTGTTTTCACTGGAGAAATACTATAGCCGGTAAGGGTATTTCTCNTTTTGTTCCTGGTTGCAATGGAAAATCAGCCTCTGTGAGAGTACATTTGCCCAGTTCTTTAGGACTCAGAAAGAATACTGAACGGTATTGGTACACAGTTTTAAGTATTTCTTCACACTGGTCGGGCAAAAAAGTTGTATCTCTGAAAGCTTTGGCTAAGGCCTTCTGGAGATCTGTACGGGTATTTTCCGTTTCTTCAGGGCTCGTTTGAACGCTGCTCATTATTTGTGGCAGTACTGTTTTCACTGGAGAAATACTATAGCCGGTAAGGGTATTTCTCTTCAGGGATACCGGTCTGTGAGAAGGGTTGGCTAGTTGTACCATTGCACTTTTGTTGTGCTTATACCGGTGACAGAAGGTGCGTGCTACTATCACCCTACGGAATGCATCTGGTGTATCCTGCTTCCCAACGTCATCGGACGTTAAGATGCGTGGTTCAACCACGGCGGCTGTGGTTTCATCTGGCGCTTGGAGCGAATTAATTTCAACAGCTATTTCATGTTGTGCAGGTATGCTGCATTTCCGTGTAGTGTAAACAGGCACTGCAGGTGTGTCCCTCTCTACTGCTACCACAGGACACTTCATACTGTTTTCCTGATCGGTCGTGGGATAGCGCGTTTTGCGGTGGACTGCTGGAATATTGGTTGTTGTTGTTTTAAACGACAACTCTTCCGCTTGCCAATCGAGAACACCACCAAATGCACCCATTATGCTATTGTCGAGTAGCATATTATCAGGGCCCAACGACGGCAGCACTAGAGCTTCAAAAGGTAATGTGATTTCTCCTAGTGTCAGTTCAAATCGAGTGTACCCTGCAATTTCTAGGGGTGAACCATCGGCGCTGTGCAGATTGATTGCTCCCGGGGGCACTGGAAATATTTCCGTGTTTTTCAACGTTCTGTGACTTCTCATGAACTTCCGTGAAGTGCATGTTATGTCATACGCCGTGTCGATTGTTATTTCGTCAACCGATTCATTGTTTATTCTGGCGGGTACACGTACTCGCTTGGATGTCGATCGCAATACCGATGGACATACGGGATATCCAGCGAGTGCGGACATGTAAAAAGCATGAAATTCTTCATTACGGTAAGTTCTCATCAGGTTAGACCTATATTTCGACCTGAAGTCCCCAGCTACGGTAGCTACGTGCAAGGCTTGCGGCGCTAAACAGGCGGCTACTTGCCTTACTTGGGTGCTATCCCCTAGTGCTGGATCTACGGCGGATACTGCATCAGTTGTGCGGGTACTTGACTTCGGGACTCCTCGCGTTTGCTTGCTGTACAACCTTCGCGAGAATGTTGTCGTGGTACATGTACTTCAACTGTCTTTGTACAGCGCTGCTCTTGGACTGCTTTTCTTGCTGTTCCCACCAGGGGTCGTACACCATTATTAAAGTGTTTTGAATCCCTCTCATCTACTCTGACTCTCTTCTGCTTGTTCGTGTCTTGCATTCTATCCCAGTTTGTACGTACTGGTTTGACAGAACCAAACGATTGGTGCCCCACGTTGGCCGAGGGATGCTGCCTACTCGGGCGACCCTAGTACTTCGTAACCGTGTACCCCTCGTTCTTAGCTGCCTGTTCGTTCTTGCACTCTGCGCGGGTGTGCGTAAAGCGAATGTTACTTTAACGACAAACAATAAAGTCACATTCCTTCTTATGTTTCGCGGCTTCGGGCTTGGCAGTACCAGCGAAGGATACTTTCGCCTTCGCCCGCGCGGGAGGACCCCGGGATTTGGAATTATCTTTACCACGCTTGTCGGTCCCCCGCTAAGCGCGCCGTTTGCGAAAGATGCAGTGAGACCTTCGTTGAAAGCGTGTTCATGAGGTGGTACATTCAGCGGAGCTGTGCGTTCAGCTTCTGCTAGAAGTCTGGCATACGCGCGTGATACTCTGTGCGCAAACACGTCATCTGATTCGCTAGTCTTCGCTTCTAATGTCATGACATCATGTGCAAGAAGAGCAATTCGGTTGGCGGGAGCGAACGATGTGGTGAAAGCCGTGACCCATTCCTTCCATGTTTTTGGAGGTGTGATTCGGACTACTTCCCCACGTGCACGCAACGCATTTAGCTGAGCTGGCGGTCGCCATTCGAGAGATGAGCTAAGCATGAGGCTGAGACTTTGAGCTGCGGCACCTCGTACGAAGAGCACGAGATGTTTGATTGCGAGGTGATCGGTTGTGCTTTGAGAGACGTTGTCTCCCAGACAACAGACCGATGTGTGCCCTGTAAAGTGCCATTTTTTCGGGAACATCTTCGTGAGGCAGTCCCTCGAGCTTGAGATCAGGAGGTAGGTCAGTAGCTTTCAAAGTAAATCGCGCCCTGCTAATCACGTCCTGGTTTACCGTGGTTTGGGTTACCGGGGTAGGGTTGTCCTGGCTTACCGCTTGCTGGTTTACCTGGTTCGGTGAGACCTGGTTTACCGTGTTGTGGTGTACCGGGTCAGTAGGTGAAATTGTCGGTGTAGACATATTCCTAGCGGGAGTCTCTTGGACCCTTGCTGTCGTGTGCATGCCAGAGCGATTGTCTGCTTCTAGATCGGGGGCAAGCGAACGCGGAATCACCTTCTGGATGTCTTGCGGTGAGCGGCTCCCGGCATAAGCATGCTAAGGACCCATGCCGGCGGGGCCTTCTCCGCCTCCACTGCCTTTGAGACCGCGCTGACGAGGACGGCCTCAGCGGTCCGCCGCTTGCCAGAAGCGGTGCACTCTGCTGACTGGCGGCGTCGGCGCGTTTCTGCAGGATGTCGTGCGCAAGGTCATCGTCGACGTTGTCGTCATCGTCATCGTCGTCGTCAGGGGGTGGGTCGTTGTCGAGGTTGCCCGCCTCGGCGCCGTCGCTAGCGCTGCTGTTATTGTCGCTGTCGCGACCCTCACCAACCAGTGCGTGACAATATCCGCGATGGTGACCGCTCTGCGAGGGTGCTACGCTCGCAGACGCACCGGCGGATTCTCCCGTTTGGGTAGGCTTCGGCTGTCCCTCTTGGGGTTTAGCCGAGTCATGGTTGGTGGTGGCAGTAGCGTCGGGACGCGGCGTGGCTGGCGGTTTGGGTCCCTCGGAGAACAGTAATCTATTATCACTTATTCCCTCAGATCCTACTCTTTATGTACGTGTATCTCTGCTCCCTGAATCTCCATATCCTGACCTCCACACGCACCGCAGGAGATTTATTTTAAACTCAGATTTGGGGCGGGAGGATTACTTTGGTCCATTCAGTTATATGCCAAATATATGCATGTGTTAAGGAGTGTTGCTGTATGGCACAGATAGGGTACACAGTCGGTCTAGATTAAGATGGGGGACGTCAGGAGGTATACCCTCTTAGGACGTACCCCATCGGGACTTAGCTATCTGCGTGCCCCCAGGTTGAGGGCAATCCGCCTCACCTCAGACCTGTAGCAGACCCGCTTCTGCAATAACAAGCAACCTTCCCATCTCAACGTGCTCGTGGACAAGAGTGTCTACGGCAGAATCTACATCTACTACATCTAGGAGGCAAGCCACCGTCGGGCGGGCATTCCTTTAAACTTGGCGTCAGCGGCAGGATCTGAACCTGCGCGTGAAATCACAATGGGTTTCGAATCCATTGTTAGAGCGACGGACAGGCGACGGCGTTCGAGGAACGATGGTAGCCCGCGGTTGACGTCCGAAGTAAGCTGGGTCGGTGACGGTACCACCGGAAGCAGTGGTAGTCTTGGCCCGAGTCCGTGAGGAGATGAGTGGTCCACGCTCCGGAAGCGAGGACAAGACGTGCACATATTTGTTCGCTGAGGATGCAACAGAGGGCACCAAACGAGATGCGACAGAGGGCNTTCATGTCACCCCAGATGATGTGTCGGCGCCGGTGGGACGTCTGAAGGTTGACTACATTTCGGGACACCAGCTGGTGCGTGGGCGTAGTGGCGTCCTCGCTGTCCTGTATCACACGCATTGGATTGGGCTTGCTACTCCTTCCTGGGAACGTGAATC